CTTTCTTTCTTTTCTTTCTTTCTTTCTTTCTTTCTTTCTTTCTTTCTTTCTTTCTTTCTTTCTTTCTTTCTTTCTTTCTTTTCCTTCCTTCCTTCCTTCCTTCCTTCCTTTCTCTCTCTCTCTCTCTCTCTCTCTCTCTCTCTCTCTCTCTCTCTCTCTCCCCCACCCATCTCACCACAAGGAAACATTGCATTGCACCTTAAAGTTAGTGTTCTAAAACTGGAACTGTGTTTCCCCCAAAATAAAACCCGGTCTTATTTTTTTTATTTTTTTTTTCACCAAAAGACGTGTTAGGGCTTATTTGGGGGGAAACACGGTATCAGGGTGATCAGCCCGGCCGGGCACCCCACCCCCTGGCATACGTGCACCCCCTGGCAGCCGTACCCACCGGCCCCTTGATGCAGTACAGGTAAGCCCCAGCATGGAGGCAGAGATAGGGAGGCAGGCAATCCGGACACGCTGTGCAGCCACCTGACTCATGGGAGTCTTGCGTGGCAGCACCGGCAGCAGGTGGAGGCAGAGGCATGGGAGGGGAGGCATGTGATCCTGACACACCGCATGGCCATGGACAAGACAAGCGATGGTGGGACGGAGTGGGCAGCGCATTGGGATCGCCTGACTCCCCCCCCCAGGCCTCAGCCTGCTGCTAGTGCTGCCGCATGAGCTTCCCGTGAGCCACGCAGCTGTGCAGCGATCTGGATTGCCTGCCTCCCCTCCGTGCCTCTGCTTCTGCCTGCTGCTGGTGCTGCCATGTGAGCCTCCCATGAGCCAGGTGGCCATGCAGTGTGTCCGTATCACCTGCCTCCACCCCACCTCTGCTTCTACTCTCGGACTTATCTGTGCTGCGCAGGCTGCAGCTGCAGCTGCTGCTGGACACCGTCAGGCCCCACGCACTTGCCGCCTCCTATGCTGGCCACGCCCACCCCCGGGTTTATTTTTGGGGTAGGGCTTATATTAAGCACACCCTAAAAAAAATCGGGCTAAGGCTTATTTTCTGGGTGGGTCTTATTTTTTGGGAAAGATGGTATTTGGTCAGTTGGCCATGTTTTTATCCAAGTCACTCTAAACCAAAAGTAACTTGGTGTCCTCCAAAAGCTGTGGGCAACTCTCACCATTCTTTGCCATTGAATCTGCTGGTGGGATTAGTGAAAGTAGAGATCCAAAGTTTCCAAAAGACATTAGGAGGTAACCTGGTGCCCTTGTGAAATTTATTAGATTTTTATTCCATCTTTATTACTTTGTAAGCAATTGAAGTCGGTGAACCTTTCTCCTCCTATTTTTTTCACAACAATGCTGTGAGGTGAGTTGGGCTGAGAGAGAGAGAGTGAGTCACTGGCTCAGAGTCACAAAACCAGCTTTCACCCCTAAGGCAGAACTAGAATTCACAGTCTCCTGGTTTTTAGGCCAGCACTTTCATCACTGCACCAAATTAGCTTTTGCATATATGTTGAAGCTCCTACCTAGCAGAGCCAGAATTACTAATTAAAAGTTCCAAATAGATCAATTAATGTTCTCTTCACTCCCCCACTACCTACCCCAGTTTATTTTCATTTTGCCTTTCAACTGATATTTTCCTTGGAGACCCCAGAGCACATTCAAGCATCACTGGCTGTTATTTCTCCTTTTTTCATCTTCCTATTTGTTTCATCTTCCTATGTGTTTCTCAGCAGTTGTTTTTCCTGCGGTGCTGTCACAAACACTTGATTGCATGAATTTGCTATTAGACGAAATGCCATCTGGAAAAAAAAAATAACGAATGGGGAGTGGGAAAAGCAAAAAGGGAAGTTTGAAAATGCGCACATGCTCTTTGTGGTACTTATTACACACCAGTGAGTTATTTAGGTATTATACAATGCTCATCTTAAGTCAAACAAGCAATTAAAAGTTTTTCATCAGTGGCTTTTCCGGCGAAGTGATTAAGCAGCCAGCCAATTAAAAATAAACATAAAAACATTTAAGACTTCCCTGTAAAATTGATGCTCGTAATATTGAGATGCAATTTCTCTGTGTTTAAAGAATGGGCATGCAATCCATGGCAGATTAGAGCATCTGGGAGCTCTATACTCACCCACTCTTTTAAGACCCTTGAACAGAGTGTGGCTTGGTTTGAAGTAGAAGTTCAGATTGTTAAGCTGAGATTTAACAGTACCAAAAATACTACACGGGACTCACTTCTCTACTTCTCATTGTTTCCTTCGTCTATTCCTTTTTCTTTAGAACAGGGTTTTCTCTACTTTATATAGCTTGGGGCCATTTTTTTTTCCAATCCCCAAATATAAACAAGTGTAAAAGGGGAAAAATGGAAAACCCTGACTAATGTATAAATGTTCATTTTTATTTAAAATATGAATGGCCAGACACCTCCAAGGTGCACTTATAGCTTTTATATAAAGCTCTTCTTGAGGATTGATATAGGAAGACTCTCCACCTGGAGCAGCCTTGAAACAAGAACATATTCATATTACGGAGACATTCACACTAGGCTCACTCTCTCTTTACTACATAAATATCCAGACTCCATGTAAGACAAGGTTGCATCTCCCAGTTGCCTTCAGATATCAACCCTACCATAACATACGATGTTGCCAGGTCCTGTGCAGCGATGCTCAAAATTCATCAGATGATGATTTGTTGTTTTCTGGCTCAACTCTTAAAAAACTAGACTTGCACCCACATTGCCATATTAGATATAAATATAGCCTCTCTATATAGCCAATATTCTCCTATGCTTTCCTAATGCTCCTATTCATTTTTTTAAGATTATTTTACATTTTTTCTGCTCTCTCTCTCTCTCCCCCTCTGCCTCTCCCTCCCCCTCCCTCTCCATGGGCCTTATATATTTTTTATCTAATATATGCCTTTGGTTCTTCCTAATGATTATACTCCATTCCCTTATGTTCTGTGACAAAATATTGATTTAATTTATATAACCAAGAAAAGAATGGAAAAAGTAATATTATTTTGCATTACATACCAGAAACTCAGGTTTTGTTCATTGTTGTGCCTATTTCTACACTTCATTTTGAAGAAAACCAAGGCAAGAAACTCTTTCTTTAAAAGAATATTTTATTGGTCTTGGAGTGGGAGTCTCTATAGTGAAGCAAGTTATATTTGAATTAAACACCAGCACCATGAAGTTGGTTAATGATGGCCTGCTTATGAGACATAGAATTCTCAAGAAAGCACACAGCATTTAGATGTACAACTTCTCCATGACTTTAAAAAATATGACGGCTCTATCAAGGAAACTACAGTTATCTGCTCCCAACAAAATTGGAGTTTAATTTTTAAACTTGTTGCCTTGGACTATTCCTGATGTTTTAAAAATGACAGGCTATGGGGAATGAAGGGAAAATGATGTTACACTGGACATACAAATGAACTTGGCTGATGTCTTGATGATTAAAAGGGATAGACAGATAGTCTTTTGACTTACAGCCATTCAGGTTAGTGGCTATTCGAAGTTACAATGTCACTGAAAAAAAGAGACTGATGACCCTTTTTCATACTTATCACCACTGCAGCATCCCCATGGCCACATGATCAAAATTAGAGCACTTGGCAATTGGCATATATTTATGAAAGTTGCAGTGTCCCATGGTCATGTGATCACCTTTTGTAACCTTCTCAGCCGGCTTCCGACAAGCGAAGTCAATTGGGGAACTCAGATTCGCTTAACCACTTCATGATTTACTTAACCATGGCAGTGATTTATTTAACAACTGTGGAAAAACAGGTCATAAAATGGGGTGCCGCTCACTTAACAACGGTCTTGCTTAACAATGGAAATCTTGGGCTCCCTTGTGGCTGTAAGTCGAGGACTACCTGTACAAATAAGAAACCAAGAGTGATTTGGATCACTTTCCTATATTGGATTTACAGAAGGGACTTATTAAAAGCTTTGAAGAATTTTGTTAGAAGGGATACAGAAAAAAAATGAAAAGAAATCAAACTCTGGGAGATTTAGTTCAAGGCACTAAAGATCAAGATTGTTAAAAGCAAAGGGAATGAATATAAAGTTGGTTTATTTAATCAAGGTATGTATTTTAGATATGTTATCTCTGGTAATCCTTGATGGACACTAAGTATGTATAGAACACTAAGTTCTATGTATAGAATACTAAGGCTTTAAGAATGTGTTTACAGATAAGAGATGGGATATGGGAAGAAGGAATATTTGTTGCATATTAATAAAAGGCAATAAGTTAATAAAATTGTTTGTAGTTGTGGAGGGTGAAGTCGTTTCTTTATATATTTTCTTTCTCTTTATTGTGTTCTTTTTTTCTTTTCTATCTTTGTTTTCACTTTTTCTGCACTTTGTTTTCTTTTTTATCTTTTTATTTCTTTAATTTCGTATTTCTTTTTATCTTTTTAATTGTAATTTCTAATAAAATTACTACCAAAATAAGAATAATTGTTGCAGACGAGAACGTGCATGGCTGAAAGTGAACCATAGAATCCAAATCATAATCAAGGTTCACAAAATAGGTGTAAAAAACAGAGCAAAGGCATTTGAGCTTAAAATAGTTTTGGAAACTAAAAATGCTCAGTGGTTTATTGAGCAAGAGAAGGCAGCAGAGAAGACAGATTTGGAAAACAATTCACATTTTCCCTAGCTTCTCCATAATCATAACTGTGCTGGTTTCTTTCGGCCCAACGCTAAAGCGTACAGTATTGTTGCAGAACTTTGCCTTAATCCAGAAGGCAATTTGGGGGAAATGCCCTCAGTTTCAGTTAATGAGGATTCCTTGGTTTCTTCCTTCTCCTTCCCGCTAATGCTGAATTATAATCCCCAGTAATCCTGCCCTTAGCTACGCCAGGTGGAACTGCTGAAAGTTGTAATTCAGCAACATTTAGAGGGGTTTAGGGATTCACCCTGACAAAAAAAAAGTGCATGTTATTGCTAATCTTAATTTATTTCATTGCCAGTGGCAATTTAAAACACTACAAGTAAGGTACAGGAAAATACAGCACAGACAAAACCATCTCAGTTTGCTATTGCTATTACTGATATATCGTGACTGACCCAAACAATATGAAAATACCCCCGTTTTACCACAGCCACGAAAGGCAATAAAGAAATCTTTTGAACGTGTAGGAACCTGTTCCTAAACAACTGAAATCTCCTCCCCGTTAAAAACCTGGAATAATTTCTCCTTTATTTGTTTACAACAATCTGGCACAGGGCTGTGATCAAAATCAATCTCTCTCCTGCATTGTTAAAACCAAGCATCTTTCTGTTCTAAATATACCTTAACAGAAAAAAAGACCTATCTTACAGTCTTCCAGGGTGTGAGTCTCAAGGGAAAATTCAGTGGATTTGCACAAATCCTTCAGCTGCCCTAGATTTGAACTATCAAGACACCTTATTCAGTCACTCGGATTTATAGCACCAGAAATAATTAGCTTCAAGTTTCCACAGCTGGAGAGAATCTTTTTTCTAAGGAATGGGATGAATTAAGATCCAATTGAACAGGAGAGACCAATTAGTTATTTATTGGGGCTAATATGCAACCCCAGCCCAATAGGATTCAGTGCAACATATTACAGGAAAAGATGGATTATTTTCCAATTTTTCTCTGGTTTAAGATGCCCTGTGCTAAAAACTAAGGAAGAAGAAAATAAAACTTTCGCCATAATTAGAAAAAAAAACATGATTTAAGCCTCTCAAAAGCATTTTTTCTTGAGAGGGAGGTCCCCTCCCATTCACTTTTTAAACATCCATCGTGATTAATGCAAAGCAGCGCTCTGTTGCAGTGTACGGACTTTCTCCATGAAATTCTTCTTGAATGGCATCATGAAATCATCAAAGTCCACTTCATAGGTGAAACGCTGCCGACGTAATTCCCTCTTTTTGAGAAGATCTTTTGTGGTTGCTTCAGGACTCCAGGTCTTGAAAAAGAAAAGCAGTTCTTAATCAACATGCAGCATGATATATTAAGGAATTATATTGATCTGCTCTGAAAAAAATGAGAATGTCCTACAATGACTGTCTGGAATTCTTAGTCTATTGGCATCAAACCTATCTTCGAGAATATGATTGATGAGCGTCTATTCAGCAAGTGTGTCTCATTAACCAATTCCCTAGCAGGCAGTTTATAATATTGGCAGCATGTTATCAATAAACACTAATGAATAATGGTTATTGCTCCTTCTTTATATTCAGTATACTCAAAGCATATAGCAATAGCACTTAGACTTACTATATATACACACCGCTTCATAGTGATTTACAGCCCCATCTAAGTGGTTTACAGAGTCAGCCTATTGCCCCCAACAATCTGGGTCCTCATTTTACCAACCTCGGAAGGATGGAAGGGTGAGTCAACCTTGAGCCGGTGAGAATCACTGGCAGTCGGCAGAATTAGCCTGCAATACTGCATTCTAACCACTGCGCCACCATGGCGCCAGAAATATATTCAACTACAGACGAGCTTATGAATACTTGGGAGAAGGTATTTTCTTGATAAATGGAGGGTTTTTTTATCACATTTGGTATAGCCATCATGGGCCATATCAAATTTTGTTAAGGTCAAGATTTGGTTTGATGATAATAATTATCTGACTATCCTTTGATCTAGAATAACTTTTCCCAACAAGTCCCCTTAGGGCAGGGGTAGGCAACCTTGGCTCTTTTATGACTTGTGGACTTCAACTCTCAGAATTCCTGAGCCAGCCGGTCCAGGAATTCTGGGAGTTGAAGTCCACAAGTCATAAAAGAGCCAAGGTTGCCTACCCCTGCCTTAGGGAAAATTAACGATTCTGATTATCAGAAGTGTTCCTACAGAACTGGATAGGTTATCCACAGAGGAGAAGAAGTGGGTTAAAAAAATGTAAAAATGGTGGCCACAACTATGCAAATGGAACCCCATCTGCTTTTTACACGTGTTTCATGGGCATCATACATGAAAGGAGCAAGAACTTTAATTGTCTGGTGTATCTACCATATTTATTTTTTGACACACACAACTTTCTACCATGAATGCCTCAAGATCTGGAGAGCACTCAGAAATTGTAGTATTATTCCTGAGATTATAATTTTGCAGGCAGCATGCTTTTATTATCCCAATAAAATGACAGTAGAATTTTAGGATTTTGAACCACCTGAGTTGGAACAAATGAGAAATATAAACTGAATAGGACACAGGAAATACATTGATCTGAATTAGTAAATATGAGCATCCATCAGGAACATATTCCACAAAAGTAGGAGCTCAGTGAAAATACAGGTAGTCCTCGACTTAAGATGATAATTGAGCCCAAAATTTGTTGATAAGTGAGATATTGGTTAAGTGAGTTTTGCCCCATTTTATGACCTTTCTAGCCACAGTTGTTAAGCAAATTATTGCAGCTGTTAAGTTGGTAACACGGTTGTTAAGTGAATCTGGCTTCCCCATTGACTTTGCTTGTCAGAAGGTCGCAAAAGATGGTCATGTGACCCCAGGACACTGCATCCGTCATAAATCTGAACCAATTGCCAAGCATCCAGATTTTGATCACATCACCATGGTGATGCTGCAATGGTTGTTACATGTGAAAAATGGTCATAAGTCACTTTTTTCAATGCCATTGTAACTTTGAATGGTCACTAAACAAACTGTTGTAAATCGAGGACTACCCGTGTAACTCTAATCCTATTTTACGGTGGTACTTACTCTCTGTGGTGTGAAAGTGATATTAAGTTTCTTTGTTGCTCCTCTGGTTATCAGGGAATTCAGATGAACTACATTATCCTTGAGGGATTCCTTCTCTTCTTCAAAGAGTGATTTCTCAACAATAGAATCAAGGGGTTGTAGCATCTGAAATGCGCAATGCAAATTATACTGGGATTTTCAAGGCTTCATGATGCCAAATCTCTTATTTTTTGCAATAAAAAGTTAAAGGTCAAAGGCCAGTCGCTTAAATGGCTGGTACTTGAGATGGGCGCTTTGATTTAAACATTGCCTCTTCTTTAATTATCGGGAAAAGGGAATAGAAGACCTGTTGCATTCCAAAGGTGCCAGGTTCAATCGTAGGAATCCCCAGATAGGCCTGGGAAAAAAAAAACACACCTCCCCACTCCCTGCTTGAAACACTTGAGAACAGTTGACAGACTTCTGGATGCACCAATGGCATTACTATGAATGAAGCAGCTTCCTATGACCCTCTTCCTTATTGTTTTTTTTCCTACTGATAAGGACACTTCCCTTGTCCCGCTATTCTTCAAAAACTCTGTAACAAAACCCAAAGCATTTACTTTATTGGCATGTAATCTATTTAAGCTTCCATGGGGCAGGGTTTCTGGATTCCCCTGCCCTGATTTCAAGCAGTGTCGCTTGCTGAATTCAGCACACGGAGATGCTTTCCTGGGGTGGTTGTAGGGACTCAAGCAGAGAAGAATGGACAGAAATTTTATTGTGGTCCTTCGGTGATTCAGAAGGATTGATTCAATGAGCATCATGGGGGGGAGGGTGCACCTCAAAGGAAATCCCATGACATCGTACTGGAGACAGGAATTCCCCTCCAGACAATTTCTCTTAAGATGATTTTTCAAACATTGTGAAAAAAGCAAATCTATGAATGGATTCAAGTCAAAGAGTCTTGGTTATCATACCTCCTCTTTCACCGACTCCTTTGAGTATTCTTCAGATTTTGGCTTGGGAGCAGCTGCAGCCTGGGCTGATGGAGCTGGAGTAGGAGTAGGAGAAGGAGCTTTAGGCTTGCCCCCTTTCTTCCCTTTCTTTTTATCCCCTTTGACTTCTATGACTTGTGGCAAGCGGTCCAAGGTATCTTGAATGAAGTGGATCAGTCGGTTGTCTGCATAGGCCCTGGCAATTTCCAGCGAGTTTTGTCCTATTAAATAAAACTTATGGTAAATGCTGGAACATTCACAGCTTCTCTGTATATAGAACTGAACAAATATTGTCCCTCTGGCTTAGACTTGCTAGAACTATCTCCACTTTGGTTTTCTACCATCATACCATGACCTTCTCAACTCTGTTGAAAGTAACTTACCCTTCTGATGACTTGGAGTGGAATCTTTCCCCAAATTCCTATACTGGTTTCTTGTCCATCTGCAACCTAGCATCATTTCTTCCCTCTTACGTTCAAATCTTCCATAGCTTTTATCTCACTGCTAAAGAATCTGGGCACATCCCTTCCCATGAGATTCGGTCCTTCAGCTTCACCAACCTTAGCTTTCCTAAAGATGCCACACTTATTTATATGACTCTGCTCCTCCTCCTCCTTTCTTATGCCTGAAGCTCCCTTCCAAAGACCTCCATCACATCACTTGAAAGCCTTTTTTTTTGCCAAGAAGACTTTGATGCATCCCCTATCTCCCGATCCCCCTTTTGAAACAAAAGACTTCCTATTCTTCAAAATGCAATTTTATTAACATGTGGAGGAGAAAAAAGTTGACCATTATAACACATTTCCTGAACTTCGCAGCTTCTGTACTATCGCAAGATAGCGCTGGCTTTTCAATAAATATGCTTTGATTTCGTATGGATGCTGCACTAAGAAATCAGATCAGATTTCTGATAAGGTTCTCCTTGGCCACATCATTGTTTCATTTTCTTTGCATCAGAGGCACAAGAGGGGTGATATGCTCTCTCTTGGACTTGAATTATTTAAATTACACTTTTGTTCATTGAAGGTACAGTATTTAATGTCAATATCGCCAGTTTTTCCATAAAATTCCCTCCACTACATTAAAAATTATACTATACAGGCAACTTTGGAAGACTATGATTTGGGGGGAGGGGAGAGGAGACCACATCTGTCCCTGTGGCCTCAGCTGGCCACAGGGCTACGCTCTAAAGAGAGTCTGTGAAGTTCAATGCTAAAGCAAGCAAAAAGATTAATGACTAATTAAAATGGGAGCTGGTACAATGTGGTGGTTAAGCTGCTGGACTAGAAGCAGAGAAACACAAGTGCCTGTCCTCTCTCAGCCATGAAAGCCTGTTGGTGGCTTTGTGCAAGTCATTCCCTCTAAGCCCTGATCAGTGTCATGCACTGCGACAAGCTGGCTGAAAAATAAAACTCCCGTTGCACCATGCACTGATGGCTGCTCTCTTAAGAACTGCTGTGAGTGCAGTGCAAAACAAGCAAACGTTACAGCCAAGCAAGACAGATGCTAGGAATTAAAACTACAAGACAGCCGGTAAAAATCAGCTGGACAGGGGAAAAAATGAATAAAGCAAAAAAGTCAACCCATCTATTTATTCTGTTAATCGATACTTTGAAACCCAATTAACTTCATAAAAGATAGCAATGTTATTTAATAAGAGGGAAAAAAACACCCTTCCTTTCTATAGCTGTCTGTTCATCTCTGCTTAAACTCTTAGCCCGGGGGTCTTCAAACTTGGCCCTTTTATGACTTGTGGACTTCAACCCCCAGAATTCCTCAGCCAGGCACGCTGGCTGAGGAATTCTGGGAGTTGAAGTCCACAAGTCATAAAAGGCTCACGTTTGAAGACCCCTGCCTTAGCCAATAGCACATTGAGTAACAATGCAAAACTTTACCTTTTCGGTTTGTCATTTGAGCCTTAGCACCACTGTTGATTAAGTACTGCACGGTGTCCAAGCGGCTGCTCTCGATACCTCTCATCAGTGGGGTTCCATCATTGATTGAAACGGCGTCTATTGTGGCACCAGCTTTCACAAGGAGTTCAGCAATGTCTTGCTGCCCTGCGTGGCATGCATGATGGAGAGGAGTCCACATGAAATTGTCTGTGGTATTCACACTCGCCCTGCACGTAAGAGAAAATAAGGACCCTGTAAGGTACATTCACACTTTTCTAGCCGGTTCTTTGTATTCTTCAACTGATCCTAGGCAAAGGAGTCTAGTATTAATGGGCTGCAGAGATGGCAAATAGCAGTTCTTAACTGAATTGCTCTTCGTAGGTTGAAATAATGCCAAAACTCTAATCTCTCAGCATCCCAACTAAATTAACTGAGAAATGGAGAGGGATTGTTTTAATTCCTTTTGAAACAATGAATCATTCGGTGAAAGCAACTGGCAGTCTGATTAAAACAACGAAAGTAATGGCACCAAAGTTAATGAAATGTATTGTTGTATAAACTGCAATTAACCGTATTACAGTACAGCATAAATGCTGTGGATTACAGCTTACTTTAGTCTATGAAGTTCTACCAAACTAAATAACCTTAGGTAGGATCTTAAAGAGATGTAAGCCATATCTAGGGCTGCATGCAAAGCTTGAACCCAAATTGGCTCACCTCTTATATTTGATATTTGATCAGCTTCTTGTTCTCCCCAAACTTTCTGTCATGTCTGAAAGGTAGCTATATTCACAGCTCTCTGCGCACTCCATGGCCCTAATAAGGCTGGGTCTAAGATTACAGGTAAAATTGTACTTAAATATCCAAGCAAATATGAGTACACTCCTGTCTGGACCTGCCCGCTCAATCTGAAAAGACTGAAGAGCAAAAGGCAAGATGCTTTTTCAAAAGGCAACTGGACTTCTATTTTTCCCTTGAAGATGTTTTTGCTTCTCATCCAAGAAGCTTTTTCAGTTCTGACTGAATGGAGGAGAACGGAAGGATTTATATTCCTTGCTTTTCTAGCCAGTGTCTTTTATTCTTCTGCTAACAACCAGACGACTGCATGGAATATAAACCCTTCCAGCATGGAATATAAACCCTTCCGTTTCACTATTCAATCAGAACTGAAGAAGCTTCTTGGATGAAAAGAGAAATGTCTTCAGGGGGGGGGAAACAAAGTCCAGTTGCCTTTTGAAAAAGCAGTGTTGGAACAAAGGGCAAGAAGAGCATACTGAAAAGCCACTGAGAGCAGGACCAATGAACATTGTTCCAGCCTCTTCCTGAATTCAAACCCTCACACCTACAGACAGAAACATAGCCAGGACTGAAAAATTGAGGCCTTTCGTTATTTCTGGAACCAGAAACAGGTTTTGAGGATGAGTTGATTGCTGGACTCATCCTTTGTTATTTACTTATCCAATTACTCTTTAAAACTTATTCATCACCATTTTTTCTTCTTTCTGCCAAATCCTGGATCTTATTTATTTTGCCACACTATTTTAATTCACTTTCAGAGAACAGGAGAACTACTGATCTGGAAGCCATACACACCACTGAGGAGTTTGACTTTTGTCCACTAGGAACATTTCTCCATAGTTCCCATCACTACAAAGGGATGCTTGCAGAAAAAAAGCAATTCCAGACATGACAATAAATAAATAAACAAACGCAGCAGGCTACTTTGAGGGGCACAAATTCAGATCACTTCCAATGTGGACTAAATGACAAATTTGTCAAGCACCAATAAGGCAAGCATGTTCAACAAAATATCACAGCTTAACCAGATGCCATGCCTGCTTATACAGAACTCTACGCCCTTATCTTGGTTTTACATTCTTGGTTTGATTCCACAACAGGATTGGCTTGCAGTTCAATAAGGAACCCAACAAGCTTCAAAATATGCTCTGTCCAACATTAAATCCACAATGCCCTGGTCATCACGTGGTCATCATATCACCTTACAAACCTACTGTGAGAAGTTTTATATTCAAATATATTTTATTCTTTATACTGTTTCCATCTTCCCTTAAAATATTAACAGAATCCACAATGGTCTGAGAATCAGTGTCTCCATTAGACAATTGACAGTCAAGCTGAAACTAAGTTAATCAACTAAAATTAGTAAATTTCCTCAACCCTCCTAAATAAGTTACCCAGATCTAATCCAGATATCAAAGGATGAGGTCTGCAAACACAGAGTTAATTAAATTAGGTCTCCCAGAAGAACTGCACATTCACAAGTATGAACTTATCTACACACACACACAAGACATACACATACACACACACACACCTCAAGTGCCACCCTAGAATTAGCACGTAGACACTTCCAGACCCCGGACAAGCTCCCCCTATAACAATCTTCTGCTGTACCCCATTTCTCTGCAGCCTGCCCCAAAGGCAAACTGTTTTGCTTTTAGGAATAAATACTACTTCTTTCCTCACCTATATCCCACCCATGGGTTTGTTTGTTTTTTTGCATTTATAAAACTGGCAATTTTATTTCCACATTCTCAGAGTTGCTATTGTTCTATTTCAATCTCTTTGCCTACCTAAACATATCTAATAAACATACATATACCAATATGTGTGTGTGTGTGTATGCAATAAAAGTAAGTAAATTCGAATACTAGGTTAATATCAAACTAAAAACTGTTTAATACAAGTGCTGAGCTTGATATAGATATCAAAAGATAATATAAAATTCACAGACCTTTTGAAAAAGATAAATTTATAAAAAAAATTTACAACATCAACAGTAAAAGTGAATTAACATTTAAATACACATTGAAAATTATCAAAAAGGTGACTATTGTCAATATTTGTAAGGGTTTATCTTCAGATCTACAAATTAGATACAATATCCTTGTGTTCCTTGCCCACAAAGTTCAACAGTTAAACACTATTATCTCATTATACAATTAGTTTAATGCAGGCATGTCAAACTGCCGGCCCGCGGGCTGGATGCATCACGCCGAAACTGCACCCACCCCATTGCCGGCAATGGGGAAAAAGTCGCGATACGTCGCGTGACGTCGCGAGTTTGACATGCCTGATTTAGTGTCACCAATGGTAAAATTGGTATAAATGTAACTTTTCTATTCTTGGATTCCTGGCAAGCCACTAAAACAAAAAAGATGTTAACTCACCCCTTTTCGAGAAGGAACTGCACTGCTTCCATGTTGCCACTTGCACAGGCAGCCATCAACGGAGTCTTATAGAAATGGTCTCTGATGTCTACCGGCACCCCGGCCTCAAATGCTTTTTTGATAGAGGAAAGGTCCCCCTCTTTGGCAAGGTAATTGATGTTGGCAAAGGTCTTTGGTGGATCTTCAATATACCACCAGGAATCATCCTGCAATGGATGTTCGGGAGGGTGATCCCGATTGAACCGCGTGCAGTCAGTTACATTTTGATAAGTTTCAATCATGTATTCTGGGGGCCCCCCGTCTGTCCGACGGGGCCGAGAGCTCTCTGGAATGACGCAGATTGGCATCGGCATGGCAAATTTTCCTTTTTTGCCTTTTGCTTTCTTGGGCTTCTTCTTCTTTGGACCATAACTTCCAAGGAGGAAGGCCTTCTGCAGATACCGGCTGCCCTTCAGAAATTCTTCAATGTTAACTCCCGCCGCACGTGTTTTCTCATGAGCCTGAGCTATTGTTTGTAGCTGCTCTGGCTCAATAAACGGATACCTTTCCTCAATAATGGATATAAAATCTTCCTTGGTCACAGTCCCATCTCCTCGATCATATGGCTCAAACGTTTCCCGAAGGCTTGCCTGATTTTCTCCAGACCAATCGTGCAACCTGATAGCCCAGGGTGGATTGGGGTCCTTAACTCCAGGTTTGGGTTTGGAAAACTTTGCAAACCGCCGCTCAATTTTACGTATCTCCTTTGCAGCTGCTTTGAACCCCCCGTCTTTAGCAACCTGTCTTGGAACCTTCTTCTCTAAGTTTCTCCAAGTAGGGTCAGAACCTACAAATTTAGAAGAAATACATTGAAAACAAGTTGTGGATGGAGATCAGGAATAGGGTGAATCGGTGGTTCTCAACCTGTGGTTGAGGGCCACTATGTCATCACAGAGGGTCCACAAAGGCTTGAAGAAATGTTATGATTTAAATCTTGAGTTAGGTTTTGGTGGGACATGGCCATGGTCCATGGCCAGAAAAAGGTATTTAAAGGGGGTCCATGATGAAGAAAAGTTTGAGAACCACTGGGGTGAATGACTCTTGAAACATAGAGCAGCGAACATTACAGCTGATAAAATTCTGTACTTGCTGGTGAAAGTATTCTGTACTGGTGAAATTATTAAGGTAGAATGTTGCAGACACAATATCATCATTACTGTATGTTATATGGAACCCACATCATGATGGTGCAGGATCCTGGCTTACATGACAGTTGTAGGTCACAAAAGCTTTCCTTCTGCAAGTATCATTAGACTAACAGAAAATCAGGTAGTAACCTTAAGCACTCACTTAGTAAACCTTCTTGGCAAAATATAATCTGAACAGAACTAATGTGTTGGTTCCAAACCAAGTCTAAATTAGTGTGTGTGTGTGTTTATGTACCCATATATTTATTTGCTAGGTTTATAGCTGGCCTTTTCAGTTGCATTTGCAAGGCAGATTTCAAAAATACAAAATATAAAACATGATGTTAAAAATCAATAAATTAACAAAAAATACCTTCACAGAGAGATGTTCTAAACACTGAAGAGTGGGGCTGAACACACCTATCTAAAGGAAAGCAATATAAACCCGAGACCCATACAGAAGAAGGACCTATGTTTCTGAAAACGTCAGGGTTCCAAAGGGTTGCTTCTCTACTCTGAGTAACCAGGCAGGTTCAGCTACTGTAAGAAGAGGCAGTCTATTAGATAGTCAGGTCCCGAGCATTTGGTGATTTAAAAATGAATTGACATCCAGTAGAGATCTTTCAACGGACACATTAATTGATCCCTATACCTTGTACTAGTTAGTTTATCTGCTGCATTTGGTACCAACCACAGATTGTTGGTTCAAGCTGAACTGAATACCAAATTCAGCCCCACTGCCTGGGCAAGGCCAAATACCAATTGGGATAGTCCATGGTCTTTATGGAACACATGAAATTGCAAGCCACTCTTGGCTGGGCAACCTCAGCAAGAACACTAAAGTGCTAGAAGACAAGAAGTCTTGGTAGTCCATTAGTACAGGAAGACAAACTGCTGTCTGACAGTTGATTGCATTCTTACAGTATTTTGGCCATAGTACATAGCAGCAAACTTTTAGAAGAAGCTTTTGGCCAACGAGATGGAATATCCATGGGCTGTGGTTATACTATGTCCCTGCTCTCCCGACCTATTCTACTTCATGACAGAGTAGCCTAGTTGATAGAGTTTGGCAACATAAATACATGCTTGGTTTGTACTTTCATTCAGGGATTTGACCTTGGATAATATTTTATCAGCAACAGACATGGAACTGAGTTCCCATCTTCATTGATTAGATCACAGTTGGAAAGGAAGAAAGGCCAACCAATGGTTTTGTATTAGTGACAATGGGTTCAAAGATCAGACGTCTGAAACTCTACATTTACTTTAGACCAGTGGTTCTCAACCTTTTTAATGCCGTGACCCCAACCGGTCGTAAGTCGAGGACTAAACCGGTCGTAAGTTGAGGAATAAACCGGTCGTAAGTTGAGGACTACCCAACCGGTCGTAAGTCGAGGACTTTCCCTGCCCGGGAGCACCGCGCATGCATGGTTCCGCCCCCTGCGCCGGCCGAGGCGTAGCTGGCAAGCAGCAGAGACGGAGCAGGCTGACCACCAGCTGGCCCAGCCCAAGGGAGGTAAGGCACCCGCCGGAAAAGGGGAAAAAAAATGGCGGACAGCCTTGCTTGGCAACCCCCGTGAAATGGTCGATCGACCCCAAATGGGGTCCCGACCCACAGGTTGAGAGCCACTGCTTTAGACGCTCTTCATTCTCCAACATTTATAACTTACCTCTTTGACCGATAAACTTGCAGCACTCTGCAAAACCTCCAGCAGCAGCGTAATGAAGAGGTGTATTTCCATTCATGGCTATAAGGCCCACATCTCCATTGTAAGCAGAAATAATCTTCAGTATCTGGGGAAGCAAGCCCATGATATTAAATGCAAAAAAAAAAAAAACCCACAAAAGTGTGGACACTAATAACATCGATCAAACTGAGTTTATTTTGAACTGTAGCAAAACATAGATGACTTCACTGAAACAATTTAAAAACTATTACTGTCACTATAACATGGAATAAGAGTGATTGGGAGAGGTGACTGTGTATTGGCATCCAGGCAACATGGTAATCCTTTTCCAGCAGGAGAGGGGTGTTTTTTTTTTAATCTTTTTAAACTTTTGTGGGTAAAACTGGATTTTCACACTTTTTCTGCTTTTTTTATAAGAGGGTGAGTTTGATCTTCTGGACTCTGGGGGCTGTAAAAAAGAAACACCGATGGGGGGTATGAGAGACCTACCTTACTTGCCTTAAGAGAAGTTCTTCATTAAATGGATATTTGCACTGTGTGTGTGTGCTGAGAGAAACAAAGACACTGATTTCCAAAGCTCTTATTCTTATCCCAATCAAACACACAAGCTTTGATTTCTTTGAATAGCTTTGAATTAAAATGATCACATCATTTAGAACTTAAAACTCTAGTCAGTTAAATCCCAAGAGAACTTTGCCTGCCAGACATCTAATTTCCTATAAGTTACTGCATGAATGTGAACTCATCTCTGCAAATTGGCTTTCTTCTTACTTACTTTTGGAGCTTTGCGGAGTTAAAGGCGCTGCCCAAAACTGTTGTGCAGTCCTAGAGCCAATGGAAATTGAGAAGCTCTATTTTAAGAGCAAGCAATCAGTTCAACTGAACTTGCTGGATGTAAATCAGCTGGGATGCTATTCCTCTTAACACAAATTTAGGAGGCGGGGAAGGGTAAAATAGCAGCAATAGGGAATGCTAAGTCCCAAACAGATATCAAGATATAAAGTGGGCTCCTCCCCATACCTCATAACTGTTCCACTTCAAGTCAAAAGTAACTGATCTAAGCATACTTAAAACAGGCAGACAAACAAGTGGGTTTTTCCTGGGGGATTCATTTGGGACAAATCCCTGGCCTAGCAACCTCCAACCTTAATGAAGAGAATCCTCAGACTGGAGGCTTCCGAATAAAGCAGCAGGAAATATTTAAACATTTAAACAGAGACACATCCCAGCAAAGACTGCGGAGGAGAAATCAACTTAACAGGATGACGGAGGGGCAAACACAACCCCAAGCAGTAATTCTCCATCAAGTTTCTTTTTTCTTCCTTCCCTCAGGTAGGATCGCCTAGCATTGCACAGTGATGAAAACATGTCTGTTCTGCTACCAGGAGGAGGGGGGGGAACTAACAAATGGTAGCAAAACCCACTCCTTCCGCAGCAGCACCCATTGATGTAAGTGGGTCAACCTAAGGTCTTAAAGTGTTGTGTATTTCTGTAATCACATTATGGAGAGAGTGGGGGAAATTCACTTCAGAGCTGCCATTTTTTGACAGCAACCTAGCTACGTACAATTTTCTCCAGTTCAAATCTTTTATCCATCTCTGGGCCTACAGTCACTTTCACATTTCCCCCCTCTGTTCTATGACCCGCTTTTAGGACAGCCTCCCCATGTTACCAACCCATAGAAAAACCAAGAATTCCAGAATTCCCTTTCTAGTGACAGCTGATTATTAGTAATGAACCAAGAGAGATCCTTGGTTGGGTACCTTTGCTTCTGACAGCATCAAGAAAGAATACCTCAAAAAACCCTCCTTTGGCAGCAAAATGGGCAGCATGGTGTCGCTCGTTGTCAAAAACATTAACATTCCCACCTCTCTCCAGGATACCCCGGACCACCTCTAAAACCCCTTCTCTTGCTGCTTCCATCAGGGCAGTGCGGCCCGTTGCCTGCAAATCAGAGAGACGTGATTATAGATTTTTCCCGAATTTCAAAGGAGACAGAAAAGCAGGCAAACTTCTATTGATAAAAACCATTTGCAGGGGTTCAGAATTGCCAACGGGAAAGAGTCAGCTCGTTTTCTCCTCTTACCTGTAAAAAGAGGCTACATTTTGACCTGGATCAATTGCTATCCAGCTACAAACTAGGATCCTAGCAGGAAGTATATCATGCCTCTAGGACAGGGCTTTTCAACCAGTGGTACGGGTACCACCTGTGGTACATTGGCACCTGGCAGGTGGTACGTGAACATCCTAGAAAAGAGGTAGCGGGGGAGGGGAATGAGCTGAACCGGTGGCAGCACCACACAAGCCTGACCGAGAGATGACTGGAGATGCAGGACTGTCAGGGCTCAGCGGAAGCACCAGGATCAGTGCCGCTTTCCAGCTGATTGGCGCTTCTTCGGGGCTGTCAGGGCTCAGTGGAAGCACCAGGATCAGCGCCAGGCTCCAGCTGGAGCTCGGCGCTGATCCTGGTGCTTCTGCTGAACCCTGAAGAAACACCAATCAGCTGGAAAGCAGCACTGATCCTGGCACTTCTGCTGAGCCCAGAAGAAGCGCCGATCAGCTGGAATATTGCAGCATCTCCAGGGTCTTGTGATTTACATTCAGATGCTTGGCAACTGATTCATATTTATGACGGTCACAGTGTCCCAGGGTCATGTGAAGTGACCAAAACCTGCTGCAACCCCTCAGCAGACAGGGGGAATAAAAACCAAACACCCCCCACCCCACCCCCACTGCTAATCCTCAACAGAAACGCTCACAACAATGAAAACCTCAGAGAGGAGGAAGAGCACGGCCGGGCGGGCAGGCAGGTGTCTTGCTCGGCTGTGGCTTGGGGGGCACTTTTTTCAGTGCCACTGTAACTTCGAACAGTCACTAAGCGAACTGTTGTAAGTCGAGGACTACCTGTACTTTATCACCTTTTTCCTTTTTTTTTTTTTTTTGGTCATCAAGTTTTTGACACCTTGCTAGGTGACTGTTGGTACTCGGATATTGCCATATCGTAAAAGTGGTACAATGGGTGAAAAGGTTGAAAAGCCCTGCTCTAGGAATTTTCTTTCCCTTGGGTATTTAACTGTTTCTCCACTGGTTAAGTTCAGGAGGCCAAGCTGCAACCCATATATTCTATGACATTTTTCCAAATCAAAATGGCCCTTATCTGTATTACAGCCTTCTCTTTGGTGTATTTGTTTCCCAAACGCTGAGAAATTGATTCTGCTTTACACGTGGGAACAGTATAAACAGGAATGCTTACATTACATGTTTGCCATGTAAAATGGTAGCGGCCCTGAATTCTACCAACCGCATTTTCAACAAAATGATTCTGAATGTTTTACAATTTCATCCCAAGCACTCCACGTAGTATGTAGAATACCAAGGACAGCATTAAGAGCCTTGGATGATATAGTATAATTAGGGCATGATTTAGACCCGCACACAAGTACAAACAAGAGCACTTTTTGCCTCGTTTTCTCCGGTACACTGCTGTGTCTTAGGAAGCCTATGCTGGATGAGCTATTGCCCTCCATGTGGGAAAACAGGGGCTGACTTTTATAAGATAGAGCCTGCTCCTTTTAAAAGAAGTTGTATTGCGTTTTTTTAAAGAAATCTAGCCAGCTGACAGAACAAAACCGCTTTATGCCGGAAGTGTCCAATGTACCCGCTTAAAACGTTAAGAATGCTCTTACTGGGTTTGTTGCATTGGGGTCTGCTCCTCTTTCCAAAAATGTCATACATATCTCTTTGATCTCGTGGGCTTGCTCACAGGCTTCTACGAAAACTGGCTTCCCCTCAAAAGTACAGTTGTTAACATCCGCTCCAAATTCGAGGACCATCTGAACACAGCGGAAGTGCCGTTTGGTGGGCAGAATGCAATAAAATAGCACTCCTGGAAAGAGCACATAGCACTATGGCTTAAAAGGCAAACGCCCACCATGCTGAACACAACTACCGACCACTAAGGGAATTGAAGCATTCAGCCTGATCTTCCTGAAAATCCACCCGCCAAACAAAAGGAGGTGGGATGCGCCTTACCTTTTCCTTCTGCGTCCACTATGGTCATGTCTGCCTCAGCCTGGACGAGCACATCCAAGGCCAAGTCATGGCCAAGTTCCGCCGCTTTCATCACGGGAGTGCGCCCCATTCGGTCTTGGACATCGGGGTGAGCACCAAGCTCCAAAAGAAAGTTGCACATGTCAATGTCGTTGGCCACACAAGCCAAGTGAAGGGCACTGTCTCCATTTTCTGGCTCGGTAAAATTGATGAGTTCAGGGTATCCAAGCTTGGTGAGCTTTTCGATCTGTTTCTTGTCCTTCTGGCGGACACACTGGAGAACTTTATAGATCTGGAGGTTTTCAAGCCTCTTGTCAGCCAAAGACATTTTTCAATACCCCAAGGAAAATTCTCCCCTTAAAGAAGGATCCTGAGGAAAGAAAGAAAGAAAGAAAGAAAGAAAGAAAGAAAGAAAGAAAGAAAGAAAGAAAGAAAGAAAGAAAGAAAGAAAGAAAGAAAGAAAACAAAAGGGAATCAGTTCACTCTAAGCTCTTCAAGATTCACCTTTATCGTCCCAACCCCTTTGATGGGGAATTTCTATTCTGTGAATTCAGAATGGAGTGTGGGTTGTGCAGGGCTTTGGATTCAAAGAAAAAAAAAGATGCTTTGAAGTGTGCTGGACTGCTCAGTCTGCAACCCTTTAAAGCAGCTGCATCTTTTCCCAAGATCACAAAACTGCCTTACAGAATTGTAGTCTTCCCAATAAAACATACATTTTAGTTTAAAGAGTTGCCAATAGATGTTACTTGTGCACCTGTGGACATTCTGAAGCATCTTTTTCCTTCTGAACCTGAAGCGCTGCTCAGCCCCCAAATACCCAAGAAAGGTTCAAGAGATGGGTTTACATCCTTATCCAGATATTCTCCTGGCATCCCCTTCCCTCCTGTGGCATACAAGGATGCAACAAAAGAAGAGTGAGGTTAAGGTAAATCAGTTCCCTTTTTGTTAGCTTTTAGATCCTCCAGTTCTGGTGCCAGCAAAGATCAAAGGCATCAAGCCACTGTCAGAGCATCGCTGGAGCATGTGGGGTTGCTAGGTTCTCACTGGATTCATCAATTAAAGAAGAGTGAGAAAACATTGCTTTCATTGCTAGAAAGAGAAAGCTTTGCCCAGCATTTAGTCCTACATCTAGAGCAGTGATGGTGAACCTTTTAGAGACCGAGTGCCCAAACTGCAACCCAAAACCCACTTATGCATCGTTGGGTGCCGGGTGGGTGTGGCCCATTGGGTGGGTGTGGCCTATTGGCTGGGCGTGGCCCATTGGCTGGGCGTGGCTGCAGTGGTAACGGCAGACTGGGTGGGACTAAAAAGTTCAATCAATCAATTCCAACTATGCAAGATCTTTTTTTTTCCCGCGAGAAGTTGAAATTGACTGATTGAACCTTTTTTTTTTTTGCACACGGCGGTGGAGGCCTAAAGCGAAAAGGTTTTTTAAAACCCAGCTGAAAGCCTACAACTAGGGCAATGGAGTACGTGCCCACAGAGAGGGCTCTGAGTGCCGCCTCTGGCATCTGTGCCATAGGTTCGCCACCACTGATCTAGAGCCTCACAATAATATAGCAATAGCAATCACACTTAAGATTTATATACCACTTCACAGTGCTTTTCAGCACTCTCTGGGTGGCTTACAGAGGTCAGCATCTTGTCCCCAATTATCTGGATCCTCATTTTATCGACCTCAGAAGGATGGAAGGCTGAGTCAACCTTGAGTCCTCTCAGGAGGAAGCACCATTTATATGTATGCTAAAGTCAACCTAACAAAATAAGGATAAAGCTGAACTTTATAGATTTTTTCTAAATAAAAGGTTGCAGAGTAAGGCTTTTCAACAAATAAACACTACATGTAGAAATAAGGATAGGTGTGAGAAAGGCTGTGTGGCAGCTCAGATTCTGCCTCCAAAAGATTTTTTTTGACACCTACAAAATCATTGATCTACCTGTCTATCCCATCTTAAAGCAAGTGTGACTTTTCCTAACTTCCTGGTCAATTTTGATATCTTTGTCTATAGATGCCATAGCTTTACAATATCTTGACTGTGATGGCACTGAACTATTTCTGAAACACTTCTGTCTTGTAAATTTTTCTGAAGTCTTTACAGTACTCCCAGCTCAGATTTGTCACAAGCACAAAAGGCTACTTGGCATACCTTCTGTGCACTAGCTATTCAAATGGTCTCGCATAGATACTATGAGTTAATATATCCTCCCCTCCCCATGGTGTGGAAACCATGAATCTGACAGTATAGGCCAGTGGTGGCGAACCTATGGCACGGGTGCCAGAGGCGGCACTCGGAGCCCTCTCTGTGGGCACACGCACCATCTCCCCAGCCCCGCCTCCTCCCACAGCCCCCTCCTTACCAGCAGCCCCCGGGAGGAGAGTCGCCCCTGGGTGCAGCCCCCGCAAAGCAGCACAGCCAAGGACATGGTAGCCGGGCAGTGGGGACAAGATTCTGCCCTTGCACCCCGTGACGCGCAGATGCTGCTGCGAGGCATGGGTGGAAGGTGTAGCCGCCATGGCACTGCTGGGCTGCCTGGGTGATCTGTGGCAGACCGTGGAGGTGGTGGGTGGCCCAGTGGGCAGGGCGGAGCAGGGACGGGGTGGTGGGTGGTTTTGGGGCACTCGGTCTCTAAAAGGTTCGCCATCACTGGTATAGACCATTGCATGCTAAAGCTCAAGTCCGTTAGCCAATAGCCACTACTACTGTGGCTATCACTTTTATTTTATAAACTAAAATAAAAAGTGATTTATTTACTATTACCATCACAAAATTATGTGATATGTATCTAAAGGGCATAATACGTTCAAACAATGCACCTTATCCACCACAGAGCAGCAATAGATATTAACAGATGGTTTCCACTTCCAAGTTTTTTTCCCAGTCCAGTTCCTATTAGCATCTTACCTTATTTTCATTGACCAATTCTCCGGCCCCTTTCCAGAGGTGTATATTTTCAAACTGTAAGGTTTGTGTGGAAGAGAGTAATAACTAAGTTTTATAAAGGTCAAACCCATCAATTCCCAGACCTCCAAATCTGAGCTCATATCTTGTAGCACGTAACAAAAATGATGGCATTTAGGTGGGCTTGTTATTGTTTTCAATCTAACACGTTCTACTCATTTTTAAAAATCAGCTTAACCATTCACATAACTTTAGTAGGAATTCAAACCAGAGAAAGACTTGGGGAGAAGCTTAAGGAAGCATGAATTCGGCTCAAATACCCAGGAAAAGTTAAACGTACTCAGATTTTTTTTTGAATAGTCACTGATGTCTAGACAACCACTTCTGAAAAAGATTCAGTTTATCCCCTAGTCTTTCGTCTCCTATCTACATCAGGAAATAAATGGCCTGAGACCACTAATCAAGCTACTCTATAACAAGTAGGTGTGATCACGTACTTCAGTGCCTTGTTTTCAATGCCTGTTGTCATGCTGCCTTCAACAGAATTTACTTCCAAACAAGTGGAATGTAGAATGCAGCTCTGGAGATTCCAAAGCCTTTTTGGCATTCCACAACTTAGAACCCAGAGAAACAAAACAAAGGCATCTAAATAAAGCAGATTCATTTAATCCCAAGCATGTCAACTCAACCCGCAAAGCGAGCATGTTTAAAAGTCCAACATCATAAACAAAGCTTTCATAAGATGGGGCAAGCATCCTAAGCAGTTTCACGTTCACGTACGTGTTGTTGCTTGATACAGTGCAGGCCTATTCACACAACAATGCCTGAGAATGCCTGCATTTGCCCATCTTGTATTAGAAAACTGAGTAGGGCCTTGGGAGACTTTAAAAGGATGAAGCAAGAGCAAGAGTTCACTCGCTAGCTGAATACAGAATATAGAATAAGGGACCTTGGAGGTCTTCTAGTCCAACCCCCTACTCAGGCAGGAAACTCCATACCATTTCAGACAAATGTTCTCCAGTCTCTTCTTTAAAACTTCCAGTGTTGGAGCATTCACAACTTCTGAAGGCAGGTCGTTCCACTGATTAATGGCTATCAGCTACCTGAACCCTCGTTTTTTCATACAAAGGCAGTGGTGGGATTCAACCAGTTCACACCACTTCAGCAGAACTGGTAACTAATTTTTTGTTGCCCAGGCCCAGAATGGACTTCCGGAAGCGGCATCTACACACAGAGACTCGGTTGTTCACATATTTGAATCCCACCACTGTACAAAGGCCATATGCCAAAATCAATCCTTTACCACCAGAGGAGACTGGAGGACAGCCACCAGCATACACAGACATATCTATCCTTCAGCATCCACTTGATGGTCTCCTCATCCCCACCTGGTTGGGAATGTTGAGACATCGTGTCTACGGAGATTCTCAGTCATCCAGGTCATGGTTATCCCAAAAGTGCTTTTTCAGGAGGCAACCGGATTATTATTTTTTTGAGGACATTTCGCTTCTCATCCAAGAAGCTTCTTCAGCTCTGACTGGATGGTGGGGAATGGAAGGATTTATATTCCTTGCAGACAAGGCTGGTCATTTGCATTCTTTCAGGGAGTCCTTGAGGCCATTTGGAGGTTTTTACCTGTGTCCTCAGGGTCACCCGAGTAGTTCAAAGGTGTGTGGAGCCTCCAAGTGGCCTCAATGACTCTCTAAATCAGGGGTAGGCAACCTTGGCTCTTTTATGACTCGTGGACTTCAACTCCCAGAATTCCTGAGCCAGCATGGCTCAGCTTGGAAACCTCTCTCTTTTCCCCTCAGCATGGCTGGCTCAGGAATTCTGGGAGTTGGAGTCCAAGAGTCATAAAAGAGCCAAGGTTGCCTACCCCTGCTCTAAATGAATGCAAATGACCAGCTGTCTGCAAGGAGTATAAATCCTTCCATTCTCCACCATCCAGTCAAGAGCTGAAGAAGCTTCTTGGATGAGGAGCGAAACGTCTTCAAAGACAAAAACAAGAAAGTCCAGTTGCCTCCTGAAAAAGCACCTTTGGGACGTTGGGACGTTGTCCAGACCCCTCTGGAGGGCGCCCTGTTGGAGAAGGTTGGATGACATCATCTAAGTTAACGGCCATTGTGGCCCCGTTTGTTTTCCTCCTCTTTCTGCCCGCGCATTTCGTTCAGCCTGCTCGCAAGCCAGCTTACCTGCAATGTTGCCGTTGCTCCAGAAGAGCAGGGCGGCCCGCCGTCGCGCATGACTTCGTCCAAAGGCGCGGTGCCGCAGCCTGGAGAGCCGAGGCTGTTTTCCCGGCGGCGGGAACAACCGGAGCCCACGCAACCCGGAGGATTCAGGCGAGAGGAGATTGTTAGCCAGGAGCTCCTATAGCAACAGAACCGAGGAAGAAAGCAGGCGCGCCGGCACATGCGTAACAATGGTAGCCAGATCCAGCCCTGCCGATCTCCGGGGTGCCGGGCTG